CCACACATAGACAGAAGCATTCTATCACGCAACCACCCGATGCTAACTCACGCCACACATAGACAGAAGCATTCTATCACGCAACCACCCGATGCTAACTCACGCCACACATAGACAGAAGCATTCTATCACGCAACCACCCAATTTGACATTAATTTTTATTAATCTTATTTTCATTACTATATGCAACCAACCAATTTGACATTAATTTTTATTAATATATTTTTCATTACTATATGCAACCACCCAATTTGATATTAATATTCATAAATATATTTCTCAAACTTATATGCACCCAACGAATTTTCAAATTCCTATAATATTCATAAATATATTTCCAAAACTTATATTACCCAACGAATTTTTCAAAGTTTTTATTCACTCATCATCTCTACTTCTTTATTATCTTCAATCTCATTCTAGCAGCTCTCGCATCTTTTACTTCCTTCATTAATTCAGGCAAGTATTTTTCCAACCAAATTTCTGGTTTATTTTGTAATGCAGATTCATAATTTTTTGATTGTTTTTCCAGAGAATTGATTAAATCTTTGGCATCTTGGAACGTTTCAAGATTATAAAGCAGTTTTACGACTAAAACTGCTTTATTTTTATCGTCAATATCAATAAATTCTGCGTATTTTGATATTTCGATCGGCGAACTCTTTTCTTTGTGATCCACGAGTTCATCCTGATCACCTACATTTTTATCGATTGGGAATTCTATGATTTCACCTACGTTTTCTCCTATTTTCATAACATGTATGCCTGCAGAGGGAACATGACTCTTATTCATAAAGAAATCCTTGCAATATTTACAAGGATTCTTATCAGTATTAATATCATTATAGGAGAATCCGCAATGTATGCATTTTTCGTTTAACAAGTCATTCTTCTCGCGTTTTTGCTTATTAATGGGATCAATTGATTCATTAATCCTAATGATAGTATCATTCAGAATGAATTTGATGAAAGTAGAAAAGTTTCTTGCTTTTTTTGCAAGTTCGTTAATGTGTCTATGCTTACCCTCTGCACTATTATTAGTGCTTATAGGTGGAATGCGGTGGTATGCTGCTAAATGCTCTTGATCTTTATATATCTGCTTCCATTTTTCCAGCTGCTCATCTGATATATTCTTTGTAGCATACATTTTCTGAACCGATGGATCAAAACATTTGTAATTGTCCTCAAAATCTTGGGCCGATTTTGATAATAATACTATCAGAGCAAAAACATGTAGTAAAGTATTATTGCCCATGGTTCCGAGATAGTGCCTAATACAGATATAATTTTGGAAATGATTCGTATTCAAAAATTTTAAAACTCCAGTACCTAAATCGCTCATCCATTTGATTCTTGAAAAGTGCTCCATAATGTTTAATGATTTAAATTCAATATTCATGGCTGTAAGCCACCGTTGATAAGCAGCGGATGATTCGCTGCGCCCTATGTATATCCCTAGAGGGTAACCTCGCATATAGTAATTACCACGAGGAAAAATAAATATATATTTCGGCCATGAAAAAGTAGCATCTAAGTGAATTAAATTACACTCCAACGCCAAATTTCCTGATTCGCTTGGAATATATATAAGAAATTCTATAGGATTTCCATTGACGAATAAACTATCACTTCTTATCGTTGTGCTATAATTTACATAAAATTTCCCGGGATATGAAGTTAAGATATCACCAATCTCATTATCATGCTTTATTTTTTCCTGTATTTCATCTTGCAGAGGATGTCCTGGGAGATCAACTTTCGTTATTTGAATGTACCATTTTAACCTCCCTGAAAACTCTTTGGGTAATTTTATGTTTTTCATGTTTTTTGGTACAGTAATCATCCACAACGTATCTGATACTTTTGAATATTCAAAGGATACGATTTTGTCATACAATGTGAAATTTTTAAAGGGGAATAATCTTCGTTTTGAAGTAGAAAATAATTTAAGTTTACAGATCGATCAGAACTTATATTGGAAAGGCCCAAATGAATAAATGCTGGCATTTGTTCCAAAAACTTCAATGTTTGTTCATAAGTTAACACATTGATATGAATACCAGGGCTTATTAGAATTAATTGCATTGATTTGAGTTTTTCAATATCAGTATTTTTAGAGCATTCAAAACAAATATGGCAACCATCTATTGTAATTGGAGACCGATCAACTGGAATTTTTTCTATGGATTCATGAAATTGTTTGATCGCTGTAAATTTAATACCCATGATTTGTTCAAAATCTGCTTGAATTTTTTTGTCAGCTTTCAAACAAGCTTTTGCTAAAATTTCCAGAAGGTCATTGTTTTTTATTTGATTCAAAACATTAAAGTTCTTGTACATAAAATCATTATTTTGAATTAGGGCCTCATGGAAGATTAAATGAATCTTTAAACGAATAACTTTGCTTTCATTCAAATTCATTACTGATATAATATTATTTGTTGAAACAATCGAAGAGAGTAATGGATTTCTAAATGTAGAAAATAACTCTGAGATATTGTATGCAAAAGATAAAACATACTTGATTTGGTTTGTAAATTGATAAGTCTGCAAATTGAATTTATCATTCATTTTGAAAATTGTTTCGTTTGGGCTTGACATTATCAATGCTTTCATGATTGGTGTAACATTATCTATATTACACGAATTTAAAATATTAATTGATTCAAATTTAACTGCTAGTTCATAGAAAGAATATTTACTATTATCCAATATAGATCTGATACGTATTTGATAATATTCTTCACCATTTTGATTTGTTTGATCTGAAATTAAAACATTAATAAAATCTTCGATTGTTAAATCACACGATTTTCCTGAAAAAGCAAAAATATTCGAATATCTTTTATCGCCATTAATTATTGCTTGTATTAATGGTTTAGAAATTCCTGTTTTTGAGTATAATTCCTGGTCAAATGAAAAATTTTGTAAGAAACCTATAACCTGTGCATAAAATTTGAGGCGGGCAATTATAAATGCTTCTAAAAATTTAAGAATATATTGTTCCCCTAGACGATGGATTTTGATTTTAATTTGACTGAGATCTGTTTGCAAATATTTTTCACTTATAATCATATTTACCATTTCTGTAAAAGTTTCAGCGGATTTCTGAAATTTAGGTGTTGTTTCATATGTTTGAAGATACTTTACTTCATCGCTATTCGAGATAAAACGCTCTTTGAGTTCCTCCAAATAACAAATGATAGATTTATTTTCAAATCCAAATAATTTATGTCCAAAATTATATACATTCTTAATATTTCTGTTTAATTCTTCGATTTTTGAAACGATTTGTCCCCAAGGATATGATGGTGAATCTCCGACATATGCATTTGATAATGAATCCAAAACAGTGAATTTAGGTTTACCATCTTGATAAGTTATTTTATTTGTATACCATTCTTTTTGATAGGGTTTATTGGAAGAATAATATAAAATTTTTGAAATATACACATCTGGATAAATTGTTGAATCAGAATTTACACTATTACATCTAATAGAACCCAACTGAATTAAAATCAAATCATCCGAAACATTTAATGGTAGATGAAGATGGTTTAGCATTAAAAAAATTGTCACTTTTTTAATGGTACAATTATAATAAACGTACAAAAGGGACGAAAATTGAGAGCTTGTAACTTTCAACCGTTTATAATTCAAATAGGATAAAAATGAAAATAAGCATCTTATTAAAGATCTAAGATCTCTACCTCAAGTTGAAATTATGCAGGGACCAGTTGGCCCATAATCTATACAATGAAAAAGAATCAATATTAGAAATTCGAAATTTTAAATATTCTTCGTATATAATATGGGCGTTTCTCGCGTGTTAAGAACTGGTTGGCGCAATAAGCTTGGCATAATTGTAAATTTGATATTATTCTTTTTTTTACAACAGTATCAAGCTTACCAACAGTCCAAACAAATTTGGAATGTTTTAGATGATATATTATGTTTATTCGTTATCATTATTTTTGTAATTTATTCGTTTAATATTTCCCAAATCGTTTTCCTTCGATTTGTTTTCTAAAGCTACAAATATTTAACTATAAAGTGAATAATTTCACCACATTTCAAGCTACAATATGTAGTGGATCCATTTGATGATCTGTTGTATTAAATAGGCCTTTGTTCTTTCTTCTTTGAATCACGATCTTCTTCTAAGAAGGTATTACTCGTAACAAGTAGGTTAATTTTCTCTTTAAGCTTGTCTGAAATGCCTGCTCTGCTAAATAAGTAGCGGTCATCTATTAACGACTGGATTGAATACAATCTATGAAGATGTTTTCATTTGAAAATCAGCTTAAATCATGCAATTCTTAATAATTTGCTGCTTAATAAAAGAATATTTGTATAATAGAAAGATTGTGCTAAACATAAGTTCTCTACGTCCGAGCTAATGCTAATCTATGGCTTAAAGCCTTGTTCCCATTTCCAAATTTTTTAGAAATTTGAAAAAATGATATGAAAATCATCAATTTTTAAACTGAAAAAATAAAATTTGAAATTTTTTTGGAATAATCATTATTCATTTTGATTTTTTGAACGAATTAATATAGAATTAATAAATTTTAAATAGTAGAATGATTATTATAATAGTGAAATTTTAATTTTACGCTGTAATATATTCCTTTAATCTAATTTTCGATATCTAAATTTTTTATTTAGCATTATTGTGATAGCATATGCCTCATTATTTTCATTTCTTCGCAAGTTATAATTATTGGCATGGAAATGAGATCGGTAAAACAACGTCCAATACTCATATCATCAAGTAAATGCTTTTTATTCGCCAATATTCCCGATTATATGAGTTATTGCAAAACCTATCTTTGTTGCTGCGTTTTGTTCCTTCATTTTTAATATGAATTTTGATAATTAACTCAAAAGCAATACAATAAAGAGAAAATCAATCACCCAATAGTAGGAGAGCATCATTTGCTTGATGTCATTAATAAATTTCTCAAAACGATAAAAGTGGATTTTTTTTTTCAGAACTGATGAGTGATTTCAATCTTGATGATATTATATCACAGCTTGAAAAGGCAAGACTCCTTCCCGAGCCAACTCTTGCATCTCTGATGCTTAAACTTGTCGAAGTTCTCTATCAGGAAAGTAATACGCTCGAATTAACTTCTCCAATTGTAGTTGTTGGAGACGTTCACGCACAGCTTTTTGATGTATTCGAATTATTCAAAAAGGCCGCTCCAAACGGATTCGGAAATACAAAATTCCTTTTCCTTGGAGATTATGTTGACAGAGGCAGATATTCTATCTGCACATTTGCATATCTTGCGGCTCTCAAATTAAAATATCCTACACAATTTTTCTTAATTCGCGGAAATCATGAAATTAGACAAGCAAATCAATCTTACGGTTTATATAAAGAAACATGCTCACTTTACGGACATTCTGGAATTTGGACATTATTTAATCAAGTATTTGATGCCCTTCCAATTGCTGCTTTAGTAGATAATCAATACTTTTGCGTTCATGGCGGTTTATCACCACATGTACCACTCATAGAAGCTATATCTCTCTTAAACCGCTTCCAAGAAGTCCCGAACTCCGGTCCATTCGCTGATCTTGTTTGGAGTGATCCAGATGACGTAGATCAGTGGTGCCAGAACCCTAGAGGAACAGGATATCTATTCGGAAAAACACAAGTCGAGCAATTCTTACATAATAATGACATTAAAATGATTGTTAGAACACATCAACTCGCTCCTGAAGGATACCAGTGGTGGTTTGACAATAAATTGATCACAGTTTGGTCAGCACCAAATTACATGTACCGCTTTGGAAACAAAGCTTCCATTTTCCAAATTGAAAATGGCAACCATAAAATAGAGTTATTCGAGCCATGTCCTGATGACAAGAGACAGATTCCGGAAAATCTTCCTGAAGATTTCTATTTCTAAATTTAAAATATTACGTTATATCCAAAATTTTTTACTTCTTTTTGATTGGCAAACTTATTAAAATAGTAAGACTTGTTGGACAAACCTTTGATTTTTAAGGGTTCACTTGAGATTTTAAAATTTTAAATTAGTTATGCTACAATGAGCATATTTTCAAACACATTCAAGTTATGTACAATGAAAACATTCTAATCCTTTAGGACATTGTTGATTTTTGCCATAATAAGCAATATCACTTCATATTTACTTTCTTGAGCAAATATCACTTCAAATTATTTTGAATTAGAATCACGATATATTAACAGCCATGGCAAATATATGATTTTGTTTTGGTATTTTTTTCAAATTTTTGAATTTCATTTTAAATGTTGAAAATAGAAAAAGTTCAGGAAAAGAATTGTTCTAAAAAATCAAAAAGCAAGTTTTATATTTAAAAATAATTACTGTTGTGGGGCCTGATGATAGACTTTAAACAAAGTAGCAAGAAGTCCATCAAGTTGGAGGTTAGAGGACATTCCCTGTGAAACACGCATCTGGGCGAGACCAATTTCCTTAAGTAAATTGAGTTTTAGCTTCTCTTGGATCGTATCTGTACGGCGGACGAACGAAAAGAGGGATTTCACTATATCTGATGGTGAATGTCCACGCTTTTCAAGTCCATTTAGTATAATAAGAGCGTTACGGAAGTTATCTGTTGATAAAGCTGTGAATATGTCTGCTATAGCTGTTGGATTAGGTATATCAACTGTAGCAAGAACGTTTTCTTGTGTAACAAGTCCATATCTAACGTATGTTGACTGAAGACCGTTGATAGCAGTTCTCATATCTCCATCAGCCAATCTAGCAAGTGTAGCAATGCCTTCTGACTCTGGTTTGAATCCTTCTAACTCGCAGATCTTCATGAGACGTGCTGCAATTTCGTTTTCTTCAACTCTTGAAAATCTGACAATTGCACAACGAGATTGTATTGGTTCGATAACTTTCTCACTCTGGTTGCAAGCGAAGACGAATCTTGTAGTTTTTGTGTAGTTTTCCATGATACGACGCATAGCTTGTTGTGCTGCATCAGTCATTGAGTCTGATTCATCCAAAAGTACAACTTTGTGGCGTCCTTCTGGAAGAGCAACATGTCTCTTTGCGAATTCTTTGATGTTCTTACGAACAACGTCAATTCCTCTATCATCAGAAGCGTTTAACTCGATAACAGCATCTTTTTCTTTATCACCAAGAAGCTGGTGGCAAAGTGCAAGTAATGATGTTGTCTTACCACAGCCAGGAGGGCCGGTAAGAATAAGATTTGGAATATTGCCTTCAGCGGCCAAAGCACGAAGACGTTCGATGACGGCTGTGTTTCCTACAACATCATCGAGGACGCGTGGACGATATTTCTCAACCCATGGCTGGCTCTGAGACATCAGTGAAAAATAATAGAAAAATAATCGACAAATTGTAAACTGAAGAGGAACTTAGCTTTTCCGATTTATCAAATATCGTTATTTTAGTTGAATATAGGTATCGACATCTAATCAGTGATTTGATTTTCCATTATAAATGCTGTCTTATTTTGACTATAATCGTATCATTTTTTTCTAAAATCTTATTATATCATCAAAGTATCAATCACATAACTTAACTTGCACTTTAACAAACAGTGACATATGCAACTCATACCAAATATATATTTGAGCTTGCAATTCGATCTGTATTTTTGATTTCTATATGAACTATAGGGTCATCAATATAATCCTGTGAATACAATAAGGAAGTATAATATTTTTCGTTCGCTTTAATTATGCTATTTTAATGTAAATATATATTTTGTTATCATTTTCTTGACTAATACTGAAATACTATAAAAGCATATCAAGGTAAATCATATAACTCGAAAAATAACCATTTTTCACTACAAATACTTTACTTAATGAATCATAAATTTTCTTGGATTTATTTCTTTCAAAAAGTTGAATAACTTAAAGAATCGTATAGTACTGTTACAAAAGGCTGTTACTATAGGATCAGTTCCTGATATATTCATATTCCTGTACTCGGTATTTCTTGATGTCAATTTATTATAAACTATCAAAAAATGAAATAATTTCATTTCTCGAGTTATTTGCAATTACCAAGAAATGAGGGTGAAATTTGTGATGCAATTCTCATTGAAATAATTGAGAGAAAAAGATTTACATTGGCACTTTTCCACCATAATTAATTTTTATGTGCGCATCTCTTGATAAATCAATTTCTGTCCCATTTGCTCCTTTTGGCTTAAGTTTTAATGCACCTTTTGCAACTGAGACTCGTCTTGCAATTTCTTCATTTGAAACAGGGCCAGAAAATGTGATAAACACCTGTCGTCTTGTAGGTGCATCGATAGATCAAGAATGCATAATGCGCATGAGATTTCCTCAAACTAAAGTTATGTTCAATCCGCAAGAATCAAAAAACCTCACAACAAACTTAATTTCTTCGGGAGACGGAATTCACTTATTTTCGCTTAATCAAGACACGTTAATGGAAACAAATCACATAGAAATTAATACATCTAGTGATCCAGTCACTTGTTTCGACTGGTCAGCGTATAATGAACAATTAGTTATTGCAGGTTCCACAGATGGCACAGCAACACCAATAAATATTGAGACTGGAGCACCAATAAATAAATTTATTGCTCATGATCATCCAGTTCACGATATTTGCTTCTGTGGAGGTCCATCAACATTTGTTACAGCAGGTTTTGATGGATCATTAAGACTTCTTGATCTCAGAGATCCAACTTCGTCTTACATATACTTCCAAACAGCAATGCCTCTAATGAGAGTCTCTGTTTATCCAATAGAACCAAATAAGATTTCTCTCTTCGCCAGAGAATCAAAATCAGCAACAGTCGTAGATACTAGAAGACCATGCATACCTTACGCTTTCACATCTCCTCATGGTGGACAAGTTACTGGCGTTATTTGGTCAAGAATTGGACAGATCATTTACACGAGTTCGGCAGATGGCCATGTATTTGAGACAAACTTAGAAACAGCTAATGCTCTCGATATTTATGATGCAGAAGCTCCGATTGAATCTATTTCCCTTGGACAAGGCATTTTGGCTGTTGGATGCCAAGGAAAAGTTGACATATTATCATTAAGTTATAACCAATAAATTCTTTTTTGTATTTTTTTGTTACGAATTATAAAAAATATTATATTAATTTCGATTTAACTTTTCAAAGGACATTTTAATTTCAATAACTCTCACGATACATATTATGATATAGATGCCAACCAACTTTTCGTTTTTTATAAAAATTCTTCAATAATAAATTAAATTAGTATTCATGATATATTCATATGGAATATTCGATGTGCTACACAATCTTGGAAAAATTAAAGAAATAATTATATATTTATTTTAATAAACATTTTCATTCAATAATAACAAAATTGTCGAAGTTTTTATAGAATTTATATCAATATGCATAGAATTAAAAACTTAGTTTACAAAAAAAATATTTTTAAATTTTAAATCTTGGGAGTTAAATCCCAATTTTTCAGTATTCGTGAAATAAATCATGAGTTAGATCTTTACATAAAAGAGTTATGCATAAAATTATACAATATACAATGAAAAAAAGATTCTAAGGAGTTACATCAGTTTTTCAATAGATGTCTCAAAAAATTGAATTACTAAATTTAAGAGCGCCTTGGAGGTAATTGTAATGACTTTATGCAGCTATATATTCAGCGCGATATATCTAAGTTAGTCATATGACGAAAACTGTTACTTCCATTCAAATTCTTTTCTCGAATTAATTTAAATCATGCAAAACAGATTAAATCTTAAGTAAAAAAATATTTGCTTTTCGGAAATTTAAAACGGGAAAATTAATACACTACTAAATGAATGATTAATAAACGATATTAAATGGCTATCATTCAATTTACCAACGGCGTATTTTTTTTTCTAATTTCAGAGGAAAAAGTTAACATTTCAATGTGTCATTTTATGATCATCGTCAGTCCTAGATGCGCAACTATCATATAATTGTTTTATAAATGAAACAAAGATTGATTTGGTTGGTCATTGAATGTAAACTTTTGAATTATGAATGACTTCATTTTAGATGTTTCTGTTCGGACTTCTTGCAATAATCAATGATGCATTCCCAGAATGTACTATCACGAACAACGAAGGTACTAGAAATTATGTATTTCAATCAATTAAAATTCCTGCTGGTGAATGCATGACAACAACCTATAATGCAATGTTAGGAACCTATGGTAATGAAAGCAAATATAAAGTATCTTACAAAACCGCAACAATAGAAAACGATGAACTGAAATATAGTAACGAAATTCAATATGAATTTCAAAATCCAATATTTTTAAATAAAGACGGAAGCTCAATGATATATTACAAGATACAGGCTGTTAATCCTCAAGAGGAGCTTGTTCTTTACTTCTCTTCAATTAATCCAACTTCTAGAGACGAATATACAAATCAGGATAGTTTCATTATCAATTCTTATTCTGGTTCTGTTACAATAGTTTCTGACAAAGACAAAGAGGTTAATCTTGCCTTCATCTTAAAGCATCAAGAGCAAAGTGTAACAATCGATTCAAATGTTAGTATTAGTGTTCAATATGGTGATATTAATTGGGGCTCAAGCTCTCATACTTTAACCTCGTCAAATCCACAGAATTTTAGAATGAAGTTCAGTCAACCAACTAAATCAAAAATTTCATATTCAACTCCATCATGGAATTCAATCTTTGATGAGAATCAACTCCCATTTTATGCAGGAATTGTTCCTCTAATCAATGGACCAATTGCATATCACATAGCAAAGAATGCAATATTCGAACGTGATCAGGCATTACAAGACCAAGAAGATGCATCATACTATTCTGAATGCAAATACTCATACACAAGGAAAGACAATACAGTCAAAACATTCAATCTTAAGTCAGGTGAATGCTTACGAACATCAACACCAGTAATACTTTCTGGAAATAAAGATTATTATGCTGATGGAGTTATCATTAAAAGTGATGGAAGAGAAGCTGGTTCATTTAAATCACAAAGTCCATTGTTCTTGTCAGTAAAAGATGAAGAACATAATGTTTATTCGAAGATCACGTGTTATGAAGCAAAAGAATGTTCAGTCCAAGTATCAAAGATTATGCCAACAACAGATCAAACAACGTCATTTGTGACTACAACAAATAAAGATCCTATTTCAGAACCAGTCACAAAATTAATGAGCAAAGGACATTCATTCGTTTCACTGAAACCATTGATAATCAAGATTGAATCCCAAAATGGTGTATATCTTTCTCGAAAGAACACATTAAAATACGAATTAATCAAGCCAGAAAAAACGATCCTTACACAAGGCTCAGATGCATTTGTATTGCACAGAGATATGTTAGACAGTGAATATAAAATAACAATCATCGAAGGAAAGGCATCATCCGCAGATGAAGTTTTTTACTTCCCCGAATATTCAGGTGAAGTTCCGTTAAAATCAGGTGCAGTTGATGTTTCTGGTGTTAAAACAGTTAAACCACAAGGAGGCAACGAAGATGAAGAAAATAGCAGAAAGCCAAGTGGTCCAGGGGCAATGATGGCTCTTTATATAGTCATTGCTCTAATTGTTATTGGAGCAATTGTCGGAGTTGTTGTATTCTTTGTCATCAAGAAGAAGAAGAAAGATTCAGAAAACACACAAGAAACAGCAGCCGAACCATAAACTTAAAATAAATAATTAAGTATTTACTTTTTTCCCATAATAATATCATAACTTGCCAAATGTCAGGCATAAAACTCAATGTGCTCAAATTTTTATCGTAAAATTAAAAATTGATTTTTAATTAGTAAGTTAATTATCATATTTTTAAGTTTAATTAAATGACATATGAATCTTTGATTTCTACAAATTTGGTCAGTTAATGTAAACTTAAGAATTTCATTTTTTAAATGTTTCTTATTGGAATTTTAGCATTTGAAGATGCATTTCCAGAATGCACAGTAACACCATATAGAGACGACAAATATGTGTTTCAAACAATTAAAATACCAAAAGGAGAATGCTTTACCACAAATCAGACTGCAATGATTGGAACATATTTACATAAAACAAAGTTTAATGTATCATACAAAACATCAACAAAGGAAGGTGATCAAATAAAATTAAGTAATGAAATAAAATATGAAACAGAAAATCCAATTTTTTTGAATAGTAACAGTACTAATTACAATTATTACAAGATTTCTGCTGTTAATGCTAGCGAAGATATGTATCTTTATTACATGGTAATTGATGAATCACGAGATCGAATAGAGACATATATTGTGAATAGTTATGAAGGAAAGCTAAATATAAATTCAGGTAATAACAAAAGGGTCATTATAACTTTCCTTATGAAGCATCAATCACAATCAATTACATTTGATTCGAATCGTACAATTGAATTAGTAATGGATGGAGCATTTTGGACATCCGAGCAACAAACAGTTACATCAAACATTCCATCAACATACTGGTGGATAGCTAAAGAACCTACCAACACAAAAATCAAATTCAATACACCGTCATTTAGTCATATTTTTGATTCTAATCAACTTCCATATTATAGCGGTGTCGTTCCTCCATATAATGGACCAATATCTTACAAAGAAGCAACAGATGCTGATTATAACCGTGAAAGAGCAATACAAGATGAAATTGATGCATCATATTATTCTGAATGCAAGTATTCATATACAAAAGATGATATTTTAGTGAAAACATTCAATCTCAAACATGGTGAATGCTTAAAATCATCAACTCCTATGATTATCTCTGGAGATAAGAATTACCATACATCTGGCATATTTATCAATAATGTTAGAAAAAACCAAGGAACATTTCAATCAAATAATCCATTATTTATATCAGTAAATGATGATCAATCAAATATTTATTCAAAAACAATTTGTTCTGAAGAAAGTGATTGCAAGATTCAGGTTTCAAAAATAATGCCGACAACAAGTGATAGGACATCATATGTAAGTACAACAAGTAATGGAACATTTTCTGGAAAAGTTACAAATAAACAGCCAGTTGGTTATTCATTTATATCATTGAAACCATTGTCTCTTTATATTGAGTCCCAGAATGATATATATATTTCAAGAAAGAATGAACAAACAAGACGTTATATAAAACAAAATACAACAATAGCTACAAATGGATCAGATTCTTTCGAAATAGGAGTTAATGTTAAAGAAGGTGACTATAAGATTACAGTTTCAGAAGGAAAATCATCATATGAAGATGAAGAATTCTTATTCCCACAGTATACAGGAAAAATTCCAGATGAGTGGGGTGCCATTAGTATTGATGGTGTTGAGCCTGTAAAAGCCAAAAGAGGAAATAGTAAATCTAAAGAAATTTCAACAGGTTTAATCGTTCTGTATGCACTCTTGGCATTTGTTGTCGTTGGAACTATTATAGCCGTAATTGTGTGCTTTGTTCTTAACAAGAAGAAAGCTGAACAAAGCTCTCAAACCTTTCCTCAAATGCTATAGTTTTTTTTGGGTTTTCTAAATTTAGTATTTTTATTCGAAAATGATTTTTTGTAATATTGGGAAAATTGAATCAAAATCAAAATATAATACACAAATTTTCTTATGATGTTTTTAATTTAATTAATTTTTATTAGTCTTTCATATCAAATATCAAATTAATATGTAAATAATTGTAGAAATTATGACAATTTGGTTAATATTCGATACATGTATTGCAATGATTTCTATAAAATTGTTAAAATCATCTATTGTTTTTATTAATTAATCCAAAAAACATCAAAAGAGAGGTATCCAAAAAATCCTATCGTCCTACCTACATCTTTTAAGTCTTTATTCCTCATCTGAGGTACAATACCTTATCAAGTACCTCAAATGAGGAACAAAGTCAACAATCAGATGTTGATTGTTGCCAAAAGACTTGAAAGATTGTTTGTTGCAATCCTTTAAGTCTTTATCCCTCACCTGAGGTTCAGAATCTTTGTGTTTACCTCAGATGACTGCAATTAACATCTGATTGAAAAAAAAAGTCTTCGAAGACTCTTTCAAGCACACTCTGAAGTCTTTATCCCTTATTTGAACTAAAATACCTTGAAAAATACCTCAGATGAGAAACCAAGACTGCAATCAATATCTGATTAAGGAAGAAAGACTTAAAAACCTTTCTTAAGAGTCATTTAAGTCTTAGTTCCCAATCTGTGGTCCAACAATGCAACAAATATCTCAGATGTAGTATATTTGAAATAATCTTAATCTGACTATCCTCTAACAAATAAATTCTACTCATCAAACATAATGTGCTGATAGTATGACGCTTTTCCATATGTTTAATGTTAAAATCCTAAAAATTCTGTGACTTTTTTCATATTTCATGACTCTTATAGGATAACATATATAAATCACAGCATGATATTATTATACATCATATATATATAATTAAATTATGTTATTTACACATGATTGAATCTTATGGGATTCTTGAGAAATATCAATGACCGACCAGACTCTTTGCCACAGATATAGCCAAGATATTATTAATCAATCTATGCACAAGTCGCATAATTTTGACGTATTCTTCAAAATTAAATCTTCAATCAGAATCCATATCCTGCACAAGCGCATTAGATGCACCTCCAGGACGAGTTAGAATTTTTGATGAATTTTATTCAGTGCCAAACTCATTATTTAAAAAAAAAATTTTATTACGGACCAGTTATAAGTAATTGTATTGAAAAGATCCTTAGGCAAATCTAATTTTCTGTTTAATATTGTTTGTATAGATCGACTTTGCATGTAACACTTTTATGTAACATAATAAGATGTACCTCAGGACCATTCTTAGTGGACTTATAAACAGTATGTATAGTTAAATTTATTAAATTTACTTGGTAATTATAAATAGTCAATGCCATATTTGAATCAGTGCTAAATAATATGAAATATTTTATTTCAAAACTGGCTATAGAAAAAAATTCGAATAACAATTCCAATTTTACGAGATAAGTATCCAGATTGGCATTATTTTAAAAGAAAACATCTTATTCTTTCGGAAATGATTGAATATGATACTCAATAATTGGCTTACAGCATTATGCCCATAAAATTTAATGATTAAAATAAAGCAGATTTTCAAAATAGAACCAAATTTATGGACTTTTAAATTTGGCAATAATTCATAATATTAATTAATTCAAATAATTATTGATAGAATTTGTTTAAATAGTAAATACACATATTCTTCTAAATATGTGTACATTATCCTCATTTCCAACGGCTAAAAAAAAGTTAAAATATTTTTCTGAATAAAGCAAATTTTCATTAGAAATCTCACCTTTTTTTTTCTGAATTAAGGGTGCACACGAGAGGATCATGTAAACTTCAGAATTTAGAACCTTATTTTTAGGCATTATCTTGGCTACCTATTTAGGCTCGAAAAGCAAAAAATATCAAAAAATACAACTTGACTCCATTATGACCCTTTCATGGAGGTAGTTTTTATCCGCTAGTATTTTCCCTTTGAATCTCTTTACAATTCGAAATCAAATTCAAATCTCAGTAGAAGAAAGGAAGAATCGACTTACTACGGTTGTAATACGAATAAATACATATATTTAATTATTTTTATTTACATAATAATTGTTTGAAGCTCATATTCCATCAAATTTTTAAATAAAAACATTAAAATGTTGAAAATGTTCATATATTTTAATAGGGTTTTGGCACTTTATTGAGGAATTACTACATACATAGTCGAACTGAACTTGATATTTTGAAATTTAAATTATTTATCAAAATTAAAATTTAACTTGAAATTTATAATTATTTAGTCATATTTTGCATAATTCTAAGTAGATTTTGTAAAAAATCAAGAAAGAAAAATTTTAACATGCTTTATTTTTTCTTTTTTATAATAATACATATTATTATATAATTAACATATTCATAATGTTTCACCCTTTCAAAAATATAATCCTCCTCCTCTCAAATAAACGTACATACGGGTGGCCTCTTTTTTCAAAAAATTAAAATTTGAAATTTTGGGCTCAAATATTAGAGATTTTTTCAACCTTCAACGATATATGTTGTCTATATCAGACCTCCTTTCTTTTTGATACTTAACAATTAACTAAACCAGAATACTCGATTTATCCATGGGATAAGAGATATGACTGGTGTTCTAATTGTTATTGCAGCTATGATGAGCATCCTTATATTACTTATAACCTACAGCACAAAAAATTTAAAATCAACGGATATTTCATTCGTTGTGGGTGCTGTTACAATGGTTGTTGCTGCGAAGGCGAAGATCTTGGATGCCCTGACTGTTGTCTGTTCTCTTGGTCCTTGCAGATCTCCGATGACAACAAAACTTGGACTGATATTCACAAAGTTGAAAGAGATTACGACATGAGATATTGCAACGAGAAAGAATACAACTTGGATAAGTACTACACAGGAAGATATCTCAGAATAATACAGAACGAGGCATGCCCTGGAAATCCTCCTTGTATTGCACTCAATAAATTGGAATTTTTCGGTGAAGTTTTGAATGATGATTATTCACAAGTCGAAGAAGATTTTGTTTCCTACCATGACGATGACGACGATGTTAGTATCATTGGTCACATTTCAAAGAACAATGCCGCTTAAATATTTTAATAAAATCCTCTTTTTTTCAATATTTGTGATTTTTTACAATATTATTTATTATATTAATTTATTTTTTGAGCTCTTTTGCTGATTTTAATTATTAGGAATTGCAGTAAACATTTCACTAGATCTAGGAAGAAAGAACCAGTATTTGGAGAGTTATATATGTATAGAATCATATAATATATCCATCCGGAAAAGCAGGAGTTGTCCGAGAAATATCAAATAGTTTCTAATAGAGAGCTTTCGAGCATTAGGTTAACTCATTTGGATGAAATCGCATGTCTATTCAACAGATATATATAGGTTCGATCTTAGATATAAAAAGTGAACATAATCTGATATAGAGTTTATTATAATAATATAGGGTGTCCAAAGGTGTGTTTAGCATCTTATATACGAAAAAAAGAGATCTGACATTGTGTCAGATCTCAGTAAAAGTGACATTTACATGTCAAAAAAATAGAATGAGTTTAAGTAATTAAAATTGAGGGTGAGAGTAGTATTGTATGAAATAATATCTCTCACCCTCCAATTCATCCTATGGCGCCGAAAAAATTTTGGTGAAATGCGACCACATTTCACCAAAATTTCTCGGCGCCATATAGAGAACTAGAGCCTGTGAGGTACTGATACTATCCATGTACCTCGCAGGCTCTAGTTCCAAGCCAAAATGGCTAAAAATTGCCCGCAATTGTTCACATTGCGGGCAATTTTTAGCCATTTTGGCTGGGAATTGGAGGGTGAGAGTAGTATTGTATGAAATAATATCTCTCACCCTCCAATTCATCCTATGGCGCCGAAAAAATTTTGGTGAAATGCGACCACATTTCACCAAAATTTCTCGGCGCCATATAGAGAACTAGAGCCTGTGAGGTACTGATACTATCCATGTACCTCGCAGGCTCTAGTTCCAAGCCAAAATGGCTAAAAATTGCCCGCAATTGTTCACATTGCGGGCAATTTTTAGCCATTTTGGCTGGGAATTGGAGGGTGAGAGTAGTATTGTATGAAATAATATCTCTCACCCTCCAATTCATCCTATGGCGCCGAAAAAATTTTGGTGAAATGCGACCACATTTCACCAAAATTTCTCGGCGCCATATAGAGAACTAGAGCCTGTGAGGTACTGATACTATCCATGTACCTCGCAGGCTCTAGTTCCAAGCCAAAATGGCTAAAAATTGCCCGCAATTGTTCACATTGCGGGCAATTTTTAGCCATTTTGGCTGGGAATTGGAGGGTGAGAGTAGTATTGTATGAAATAATATCTCTCACCCTCCAATTCATCCTATGGCGCCGAAAAAATTTTGGTGAAATGCGACCACATTTCACCAAAATTTCTCGGCGCCATATAGAGAACTAGAGCCTGTGAGGTACTGATACTATCCATGTACCTCGCAGGCTCTAGTTCCAAGCCAAAATGGCTAAAAATTGCCCGCAATTGTTCACATTCCCATCTTTTGTTGGTAAGACGAAGAATATGAAATAAATTATGAAGAAGATAATGATGAATAAAATATCACTTTTTATATTTTTGACACGTAAAGTTGTCACTTTTCTGTCAAACTGTTTTTATCGTTTTCGTATATAACAAGCACAAACCTGAATACTGCGAATAGAAATAAACAAGTTACATATATATAAAGTTTATTTAAATATAATCACCATTGGATTCAATCACGCGTTCGCAGCGATCGATCCAGGCTTGAAAGACACGCTTTAAATCATCATGAGAAAATTGCTCAAATTGCTCTCTTACAAAATTTTCAAGATCATCTGGACTCGCGAATTCGCGTCCTTCAGCTCTCTTTTTTAGCGTGCCGAATAAATAAAAGTCAGAGGGTGCAATATCAGGTGAATAAATTGGGTTTGGAACAACTTTGACATTGTTTTCCACCAAGTAATTCATTACCTTATGACTTTTGTGAACTCTTGAATTATCAAAATGAATTGCAAACTTTTGTTTTTGTTGTTTGGATTTCTCAAACTCATCAGAATTGATAATTTGAGTAAGAACATTGTCAATTAGATACTGAGCATTCATCGTATTAGGTTTTTGAAGAATATCAATTGCGATGATGCCATTCACGCCCCAAAAAGCCGACAACATCATCATTGGTGTGTCAATTTTTTTCTTCGGGAATGTTTGCGGATCTTCATCCTTCGGGATCCACATGATTTTGGCTTCTGTTGCATATTGAAACCAAGACTCATCCCCTGTTACTAAAAAGCGAAACTTCTTGGATTGATACGCACGCAATATAGAGAGGAGCTCTTTCGAAGATTGGACTCTAGATTTTTTTGAACTGAATTAAGGTTGTGCGGAACCCAACGTGTATACGCTAGTTTGTAGTTCAAATAATTGTGCAGATAATAACTGACTGTTGTACGTGGTATCTTTGTCATCTCCTCTATCCTTCTGAGTGATGCTCTTGGGTCTTCATCTAGCGCTTGAAGAATTGCTTTGATTTTTCTTTGATCCGGCGATTTTTTGTCAATTTTTATGATGGGCGTCTTTTTGTTCACGAAGTGATACATCCTAACATGATACGTTACAGTGGAATAGCTAGGAGCATCCATACCGAAGCATTTTACCAATGTCTCGTAGATTTTTTACAGTCTTTGCATTTTTTTGCAAGAGCGAGGATGTTTTCTTTATGATTCATTAAAAAAATGAAAAAATCCCGCCAAAATTTCCCGCGAAACCGCCTCTTGTCTCAAAATTCATTTTATATCCCGGCATGGCGCCAAAATACAACATACTCATCATATACATATATTCATATTTTTTATTATATATTTATAATCAGCATATATCTCCTTTAATAGTCTCATATAGAGCGCTGTGCTAAACGCACCTTTGGACACCCTATATAACATTCGAATATAAAAGCCTCAATTATTTCAATAAAATAATATATTGATATTTGTGATGTAAATATTTATTCGGAATTAAAGCATAGTAAAATAATATTCGGAATGAAATAATTCATTCGAAAATATGAATTACAAATACAACTGCAATCTTTCGTGAGAATTGTAATTCGAATACAGCCTTCGTTTTTGTTGCCTATTCCTTTGGCATACATAGACGAATATAATGGCATAGTTTCATTCCCTGAAATCATTTGTGTTTGGGTGAAATATAAACCTGAATAATGAATATTTGATCTAGATAAACTTGGGTTATTACTATATTGACCTTCTAGAGCAATACAATTTTTGTGACCTGAAATAAAAGAGCTTCCTCCTGAACCACCGCCAGCATATTCTAATGTAGCTCCACTATAATATCCGTTTCCTCCCATACCGCCTAAATTTACTCCATCTTTGACTTTGTCTATTTGACCAAATATTCCATCATAACTATTGTAATTACCTGTACCACTATCATCTTGAAATGTATTAGGACGAGAAGCTGTACCACCATTGGTTTGATTGGCACCTTTTGTCCAAATTTCTGGGCAGATTATTCCGTTGTATCTGCAATCAGATTTACTAGTACCACCAATCAGACCACCGGCATTCCCACCAATTGATCCTGGCCACTCAGCACTCCCTCCACCAGCAGCAACCATAATTCGAGATCTTAAAGATTTTGCATCATTCCAATCAAAATTAGAATTTGAATACAACCTTATGTCAGATGAAGCTCCACCTCTAACATAATGAATTCCTTCATTTGTTTTATAATTAAAATCTGTATTGGCGCCTACATACAAATAAAATTTCTGTATATCATTCAAAAATATAACTCCAGATGTATATCCTCCAAGACCTGGAACTCCCCTACCTGAACTTAATCCAGATGAGCCCCATGATTCAAATTTATACAATCCTCTGTCAAGAACAATAGTATATGGAGTGCACGCATCATTATTTTGACATGGATATTGAAATAGATATTGGTTTTTCGAAATTGAGATGTTAAGATATCCTAAATTAGGCTTTGATAAATTTAGACTTATCATAAATTAAGTCAGATTTTTTATCATATCAGGCATGAGGCAATTCACCTCAATTAATGATTTCCAATACCTCATAGAAAAAATTCAAAAGATATTAATGTTAAAAATGTGACAAGAGTTCAACTCTCTTTCTGACATCAATTCAAATTTATATCAACTGAATATATTGATAATTAATAATAATTTATGTTTTACTGCGAATCAAAACAAATAAAAATGAAATTATAAATAAAAGAATTCATATGAAGATATGAATTACAAATACAACTGCAATCTTTCGTGAGAATTGTAATTCGAATACAGCCTTCATTTTTATTACCGATGCCTTTGGAGTTACTCGATGAATATAATGGCATTGTCTCATTGCCTGAGATCATTTGTGTTTGTGTGAAATATAATCCAGAGTAATGAATACTTGAATTATATGGATTTGGAAATTCATTTAATGAACTATTCAATGCTATGCATCCTTTGTGGCCCGAGATGAAAGAACTTCCTCCAGAACCACCACCTGCATATTCCAATGTTGCACCACTATAATATCCATTTCCTCCCATCCCTCCAATATTAATTTTATCATTTTTATAAGCTTTAATTCTACCAAACATTCCTTCATAAAATGAATATTGTCTTTGTATACTTCCTTCATAATATAAATTAGGAGTAGATGCGGTTCCTCCTTGTGTTTGATTTGCTCCTTTAGTCCATATTTCTGGACAAATCTTTCCATTGTTTCTACAATCAGATTTTCCAATTCCATCTATCAGACCACCAGCATTCCCACCAATTGATGCTTGCGATTCAGAACTTCCTCCACCAGCAGCCACCATAATCCTTGACCTTAATGATAAGGGATCATACCAGTCAAAGTTATTGTTCACAGATAATCTTATATCTGAAGATGCACCACCTTTAGCATAATGGATACCTGCATTGGTCTTATAATTAAAATTTGTATGTCCACCTACAAATAAGTAGAATGTCATTATACTATTCAAATATATGTTTCCTGATGTATACCCACCAAGACCTCGCAAACTTGTCCCTAATCCTGAGGAACCCCATGATTCAAATTTATACAATCCTTGATCAAGAACAACAGTATATGGGGAACATATATCATTGTTTTGACATGGATACTCAAATGTGTATTGGTTTTTAAAAATTGATATTTTTGGATATCCGGTATTAGGTTTTGATAAATTTACTCCTAACAACTATATTGTTTAATTGTATTGCAAGTAATTATATTGTTTTTGTAGCAATTCGCTTTCTAAAATCTTCATACATTATAAAAAGTTGTTATTCACTATCATTTATTGAGATCCAGCCGGGTATTTGAATACACAGGAAGTGTACAAAGTATAACACTAGAATCAGGCCGCTACAAACTTCGAATATGGGGTGCCCAAGGAGGATTTATTCATAATTCATCATATTGTCGAGGTTCATATACAGAGGGAACATTAAAATTAAAGACAACAACAAAATTGAATATCTATGTTGGCCAACAAGATCAATGCAGTACATCAGTTATCAATAATATATTTTTTGGTGGAGGATCTAATTCGATTGGAAAACTTAATTTTAAATCATGCACAGGTGGTGGGTCTACCTTCATAGCATTTGAAAATGATCCACACAACATAATCATTATTTCAGGATCTGGAGGAGGTTCAGGTTTATATACTGATCAATTTGGAGATCATGAATATCTTGGAGGATATGGCGGATTGATTGCAGGTAACGGAACTGGGACCCATTTTGGTACAGGTGCTACTATTTTTTCTGCAGGAATTGGTGGAAAATATTCTGAATATGAATCCGAGTATTCTCCTTGCAATGCAACAAATGGGGAAAAATTGACAGGCGGGAATGCCTGTTCCACTGCTTTAGCATCGACTGGTGGAGGTGGGTCTGGATATTTTGGAGGTGGTGGAGGTGCAGATGTTAGTGGTGGTGGTGGAGGAAGCAGTTATGCAAGTGATTTACTTGAAAATATCATCTATGTGAATGGGAATGAAAATCTGACAGAGCCAAGTGGAACCACAAACATTGGTCATATAGGGAATGGATTTATTATTATTGAATATCTTACAAATTGCTCATTCAGAATGAATAAACATGATTTCAACATTAATTTTATACTTTACAGCCTTTTTGTTATATTAGATAATAAATAAAGGTTTTTACTCAGAATCAATACAAATAAAAATGAAATTATAAATAAAAGAATTCATATGAAGATATGAATTACAAATACAACTGCAATCTTTCGTGAGAATTGTAATTCGAATACAGCCTTCATTTTTATTACGGATGCCTTTGGAGTTACTCGATGAATATAATGGCATTGTCTCATTGCCTGAGATCATTTGTGTTTGTGTGAAATATAATCCAGAGTAATGAATACTTGAATTATATGGATTTGGAAATTCATTTAATGAACTATTCAATGCTATGCATCCTTTGTGGCCCGAGATGAAAGAACTTCCTCCAGAACCACCACCTGCATATTCCAATGTTGCACCACTATAATATCCATTTCCTCCCATCCCTCCAATATTAATTTTATCATTATATATTGGAATTCTACCAAATATTCCATCAAAACTTGATTTTTCTCTTTGTTGATGTCCTTCATTAAATTTATTTGGTCTTGATGCTGTTCCACCATTAGTTTGATTCGCACCTTTAGCCCATATTTCTGGACAAATAACACCATTGTATCGGCAGTCAGAAAAACCATCACTACCTGTCAATCCGCCTGAATTACCACCAATAGATCCGGGCCACTCAGCACTGCCACCGCCACCTGAAACCATGATTCGCGATCTCAGTGATAAATCATTAAACCAATCAATGTTTTCGTTGACATATAATCTGACATCCGATGAAGCACCTCCATATGAATAATACTCTCCTTTATTCGTTTTATAGTTGAAATTTGTACGAGAACCAACAAATAGATAAAATGTTTGTACATTACTCAAATGTATTATTCCTGATGTATAACCACCAAGACCAGCAATTCCATTTCCTGATCCGGATGAACCCCACGTTTCAAATTTATATATTCCTCGATCAAGAACTATTGTATATGGTGTACAAATATCACTAGTTTGACATGGATATTCAAATGTATATTGATTTTTCGAAATAGAGATATTAAGATTTCCAATATTAGGTTTCGAGAGATTTAAACTTAACATATATTATTTTCACAATAAACTTATGAAATAAAATATGAAACTATATAATTTCACTCATTTATTTCATTAGCACATAAAAATGAATTTTATAATCTTATTTTATTAGAAATTACTCTTATTCATAAATTCAAATCAATATATCCAAATTTGATTCTTTTCATTGCCTTTGTATAACAAATATGATGACAGAAGATTGTCAAAACCAATAGGATACATCAAACATTTAAACTTTTATATCATATTATTTAATTCTCATTATTGAGTTTTAGTTGGGCATTTGATTATACAGGAAGCGTACAGAGTACAACATTAGTAGCAGGACGTTACAAACTTCGTGTTTGGGGTGCTCAAGGTGGTTTCATCTGGGATTCAACACGTTGTCGAGGTGCATATACAGAAGGAATTCTAAAATTAAAAACATCAACAAAACTGAATATTTATGTTGGCAGCAAAGGCCAATGTAGCACAAATCAGATAACAACCGTTTTTTATCAAGCAGGACAAAATTCAATTGGTGAAAATAATCTTCAATCATGCACAGGAGGAGGTGCAACATTTATCACATATAACAATATTAATGATATTATTATTGTTTCAGGCTCTGGAGGAGGATCTGGATTTTCCATTTGGGAAAATATAAATTATGAATATCTTGGCGGCTACTGCGGTTTTATCGCAGGAAATGGAACTGGTGCATATTTTGGTAATGGTGCAACTATAAATTCTTCGGGAATTGGAGGAAAATATCCAGGATATAAAGATAATAATAATGAGTATTCTCCTTGCAATGGGATCAGCGGAGTTAAATTGAAAGGCGGAAATTCATGTTCCACAGCACAAGCTTCATCAGGTGGAGGAAGATCTGGATATTTTGGAGGTGGTGGAGGTGCAGATGTTAGTGGTGGTGGAGGAGGAAGCAGTTATGCAAGTAATTCACTCGAAAAAATAATTTATAAACTGACAGAGCCAAATGGAAATTCCAATATTGGCCATATAGGGAATGGATATATTTTAATAGAATATATCGCTTCTTGATCAATAATAAACTGTAAATCAATTTTTGATATTAATTTTATGCTTTCAATGATTTTTGTTATTTTTGAAACGAAATAAATATTAACAATTCATTTACCCAGTCTGATTTTTATTAAAATAACTCAAAACTGTCCCAAAGGGTCCTTTGAGATGTAAACAATAGAATTGAAAGATATGTTATTCAGTTGCAAATGCACCTTTGCGATCTTAAAATTTCACACTTTTTTTCAATATTCCAAGTCATAATAAACTAGAAGTCATATAAATGCACCATACAAATACATTTTCTATTGGCAGATTCTCACTACGCGGAACAAAAATTTTATTCATCATGGTAAAATTACAATTTACAAATAAAATTTATCCGCGTTTGAATATTCGAGGTTTATTCATGTAATCTATCGGTTCTTGTGTTGCTGGCACATTGTTACATTTCACGCAGCTTATTCTAAAGTAACCATCACCATAGTTACCAATTGCATAGTCTCCCGATGGAAGAGGTATGCGTTCATTTCCTGCTAGCATCTTTGTATTAGAAAACTGGTAACCAGAACGATGTGAAGTACAGCCATCGTGGCCGGAAATGTAGGAACTTCCACCACTACCTCCTACATCTGACTCAAGTCCTTCGTGTTCGGATGTCTTCCCTCCATAATAACCGCCACCACAACCGCAGTTTCCTTGACCTCCTCCATTTTGAACATCATCTTTAGAGTAGCCATTGTCACCTATTCCGTTTCTATTACCTCTTGTTTGGGTAGCACCATATGCTGTGTACACTTTACCAACTGAATTTCCTCCAACTAATCCGCCTGCATGGCCACCACTACACCATTCATAGCCTCCGCCACCACCAGCCGAGACCATAATTCGTGAACTTGTGTCACCTTTTATGAGATAAACTGATGTCGCACCTCCACCACCTGAGCCTGCAGCATAACCTCGAAATTTTGCAGAACCCTTACCTCCATTACCTCCACCACCGCAACCACCTTTTTTGATTGTAAGTTTATTAGGTAGGCTGTTAGTTGCATTTTCTCCTCGACAACCAACAACAACATAAATTTTTTTATTAGATTTAATATCAATGTATCCTGCTGTATAGCCACCACGTCCTGCTTCAGATTTTGTGCCGCCACCTGCAGCACCCCATGATTCAATATAATAACTTCCTTTTTTAAGATTGATTTCGTAAGGTTGACAGCTTTGATTGCAATTAAGCTCATATTCATATTCTATTCTTTTTTCAATAGCTGATGATAGTTCTAATAATATGTAGATCATTTTAATGTTAATTTAAGAGTAAATGGCAGATTCCATATTCAAAATAATATCGGCTTCTTTATCCACGTTTAAGGTTAAATATTTAAGGATACCCTTACATTGCGTAGTTAGAAAGAGAATATGATATTGTCATGATTGCTAAAGTTTTAGGCTCCAGAAATGAATATACATCAAACTGAAACAATTGATAAATTGAATGAACTTTTGAGAGGTTCTCAAATAAAAAAAATTATCTAATTTTTTACAATATTACTATTATTTTATCCACATATGTATATATAGTAATTTGAGAAAACTTTTAGGAAAAAATAAGTTTAATAAAAATCTGAATTTTACTTGTTGTGGGATTGTTATTAATTGACACTCCAGACGTATTACTAATAGTTATGCGTATGCAATTAAAGTATTTCTGATGGACAAAATGTGAGATTTATATCAGATAATTCATTTCTACTATTAAGTTATTCATTTATGAGTTTGCACTTATTCGCACTAAATAAATAACTATTAAAAATTGTTTTAATTAATTGATACCATATAATAGAGTGAATTTTGTTTGATCAAACAACAATAGATGATAGATATAAAGCCAAGAAACTTGCTATTAATATGCTCTACTTGCTATTTCAATGTAAGTATGATATTTTCTAAATGTTTCGTTCAGATAACTTAGATATATTAGTCAAAATTTGAAATTTTAATAGCACATATATTAAAAATAATTATTATTCATAAAGATTAATGAAATAGTAAAAAAAAATCAATCAAATTATAAAAATACAACATATGGTTTTTTATGGTTGTCTCATAATAGCATTTCATGAGAAAAATATAATACTATTTATTTTTGCATAGTTCAATTTTTTTAAATAATGCAAGATATCCCGCCATTAGTTTTCATGAAATAATCCAAAAATCAGCATACACTTGAGAACATAGCAGCTCTACATGTTTTCGCTATTTATTTTCCAATAATATGAGGGGTTCACGGGATAAAGCTTCATTAAGCATAATTGATTACAATATCATCATATATATACCGAACATATAACAAATGGGATATTTGTATACTAAAATAAAAAAGGAGCAAATTATATAATTTTTGTCATGCTACTTATAGGTTCAAAATCTTATAATATAAAAATATTTTCAAATACAAAGAAAATATGTGTTTATTTCAAATTTGAAAATTAGATATCTTGTGGGGTCCACTTTCCTCCTCTGTAATCACCTGTAGGGTTATCCTTAGGAAATCTTTTTGCATTTCTTGCCTTGTTGATCTCTTTTCTTGTTTCTGGTGTAGCTTTCTTTTGATTTCTGGATTTATTTTTCTCATATTCAAGTTTTTGGAGTTCGCGGATTGAAGGAGATATTTGGTAATTATTGACACGATTGTATATTTCTTGTTTGCATTTCTCTCCTTCGTTTTTTTGTAAAATTGTAACAGTCGTACGCATTTCAAACGATTTTGCGTTGTTTCCTTTGGGACACTGAGTAAGCATTGAGTGATGTATCGATTCATTTTGTTGTGTTTGAGCATTAGGATCAATTTCTGGAATCAACTTTGCGGCATCATCTGTAAAACGTTGAAATTGCTTCGCTAAATCAGGTTTTGTAAGTGGCTGAAACACAGGATATTCTTTGTCTTTTTTGTGAAGGCAATTTTCATGCCTTCCGATAAAATGATTTAATGTATTCTTCCATAGGAAAATTTTTTTCGTTGTTTCAATTGGAAGCATGATAATAAAAGTGAACCACTTAATAACTTTCGAATATATCTGATGAAATACTTTTTCTTGGTGTTTTAATGGTCTTCCACGTTTCTTCGGCTCTTCTGCTTTAGATTTGATTGGGAATGCTGGCTGTGATTCACTTTCTTTCTGTTGATTAACAGTTTCTTTTCCTGCTGCTTCTTTATATCCACCATTTTCAAGCTTTTCGAAAGCTCTGCCAACTGCACGTACACAATGACGAGGATCAAATGTAATTTTAGCATTCGGAGCATATTGCTGGATGATGGCTTTCGTTTTATTGTCATTGTCATGAACCACTGTGGAAACATTTGTAAAGTCAAAATTTGACATCATCCTCTTTGTACATTCTGTTTCCATCATGTTGGATGGGCCTTCAAAGTCTCCTCCAGAGCTCTTTTTTATAACAGTTGTTTCACCAACAACTTTTCCACGGTTGTCCATCATTAAACTTTGGCACGCTGTAGCATTTCTGCCAACATTATAATGCGAATCAGTGCTTAAAAATGTATCTTTCTTCATTGTTTGTTGAGCATTTTTAATAGATTGCTCTTTATATTCTAGTATTACCTTACCTATTTCTTTTTGATGACGGTAAAAACTCTTTTTCACTCGGCACTTTAATATTGTTATCTTGAAATAAATTCCTTGCTCGAGTATAAGAGTCACCATTAACAATTACAGAAGCAGTCCAGTGTTTTGGATCGACTTCCTTTGGCGCATTCTTTTCTTGGGAGTTTTTTCTTGCTTCAATTGATTTTTCGTTAGCTTCACGACTTTGTTGTTTGCGTCTGCTTGGTAGAGGCATATTACGTAAATGGTCGACAAAAAATGTAATAAACGTAGTGAATAATTAAAAAGATTGCTTTATATAACAAATATAATCATTTTTTCCTTAGAAATCCCATTATTTGCATAACAATATTTAAAAATATTTTTTGATATAGTTTACAGTCACATCAATATGAACTATATTAAACTATCAGAAACTTATATATGTTATTAGTAAAGTTGAAATTTTTATCATATTTACACATTAAATTTAATTTTCATGCATATTTAAGTTTTTTTCAACACAATCTTGTATTGTTAGTACCGACAATATGAAAGAAAGTTATACTGTTGCATGCTAAGTTCGGTCAACGATAGAAATTGAGTGGAAATTAATCGTCGAGGAAGTACGATTATGTAAAGTAAAAAAATGTTGTGGTATTTTTAATATTATATATTATTTTATAATAAATTTTTTTTGAGTCATTTTAAGAAGCACATATAATTTTTTGAATTTAAAAATTAAAGTAGTGTCAAACGAATTTATCACTTAATTTAATACTCAGATTTCTTAAAATTAATGAAAAAAGGTTTTCTGAGAACTTTTGAGAATAGTTTTCAAATTCCATTATTGAAAATATATAGGTATTGTATGAAATTCAAACTCTATATTTATTAAAATTCTAAATTTTTAATAAAATAACTTTTCAGAGGAATATGATTTTGAATGGTTGATTAATAAGTATAAAAATTTATACGATTTTAAGGAGGGAATTGTTCCTTATGAGGTATACATCATAACTATATACCTCATAAGGAACAATTCCCTCTTGATAGCTGGGAAACTTTCTCTGAATAACTTATCATTTGGAGAAAGTTCCCCAGCTATCTATTAGGAACTAAAGGCTATGAGGCACTAATATATAATCAGTGCCTCATAGCCTTTAGTTTCCTATTAAAAACGAGAAAACTTGTTCGAAATGATAAACAATTTCGAACAAGTTTTCTCATTTTAAGGAGGGAATTGTTCCTTATGAGGTATACATCATAACTATATACCTCATAAGGAACAATTCCCTCTTGATATCCTGGATATTTTTGAATATATTTTTTTAATTAAAGTTCTCAAAAGTATTATCAAAAGTGATTTTTTTAAAATATCTCCAATTAATTAACTAATTAAAAGTATTATATTTTTAAAATTAAATAGTTTTTCAATTTTTTTGAAGGAATTGAGATACTTCCCACGACAATAAAATTGAGAGGTTTACATTATGACTGATCTTAGCATGCAACAATTTCTGGGGAAAACGATAATTCATTTTTTTTATGGATGAATAGATCGTTTTCCTAGAAAGGACCTCATATCTCTGGCTAAAAAGAGTGTCAGATCCTAAATAGGTTATTGATCTAGTGTACAAATCCAATAAAAAGCCTATTTTTTTGGCTTTTTTGGTGCTCATTTTTTCGAAGATCTACATGAATATGGGGAAACCATCGGATTTTTTTGGTTAACCCACATCTTCATGTAGTCTGGACTATCTTTCCTCGAAGGACCTCTTACGGGTGTAAAAACTCATAAAGTTCTCAAAAGATTCATTCTCGATCTCCATGCTGAAAGAATTTACAATAAAAAAGAGATCTACGCATCAAACTACAGCCATAAATGAACTGAACCCCTAAAGCTCAGCTCTTAGTTTATCAAAAACGTCGAAATCCTTCTCATTGCAATCAAATTTTCTCAATAACTCATAAGAAAAATCGAATTTTGATTAAGCCGATGTTATAGGTATCACAAATACTACAAACTTGAGCAATATCGAAATTGCCAGCAAAAGTTTGAAAATTGCATTGCTCATATTTGTTTTGTAAACTAAAAATCTGCTTATATTATTCATTAATTTTTTATATATTATTCATATACTTTAATAAAAACAATACTATTTCACCTTAAAAATGAATTTCATAAGTCAATATTATTTTTTTGAAAATGTATCAATTTTCGATTAAAACAACATGAGAATAAAATTTACGCAAAATTATTTTAAAAAATGGTTTTAAAAAATTTACAATTGATGAAGAATAAGATTGCAAGAAGTTTTGAAGTTTAATTTTAAGAAAAAAAATTCGGATATTATTCATGGATCTAAGTAATCTGATATTTGAGTATCGGCACTATGCATAAAACATATATTAATAGTTTTTTTTGATTTTTATGATTTTAAATATATTCAAATTTGGCAATCCAATAGATTTTTAAAAAATAGGTAAATAAAAATAGATTACATATGCAGCAGATTTAGAACATGAAACAAATCTTATAGTGACCCAAAAAAAAATTCATGATCCAAAAAAGAAAAAAATTGGCTAAATTGGAATCAAACCTTGGCATAATAAACCATTATGTCGGATGTTTCCACTACACTACACCGGCAGTTCGAAAAATACCCTTGGTGGTTCTATTTAATAGCTACTCCC